GTAAAATTTCTTATGATTCTATCAACATGGGAAATTTCAAGTTCTAGAAAAGGTAAATTCTATATAGAGTCATACCCAAAAGCAAACTCATGCGCAATCCAAGGAGCAGTGAGATCTAAGCAAACAAGCTGGGAGAGAATGTCCAAGTCAACAGGAATGTCACCAGTAAAACCAGAGTCTGAGAGATTTAGAACTTTTAACTCTGAAAAATGGCCAAATTTTGGAGAAATATGTAACCCCCCATATTTTCCTTAATAAATAATAATTATATTTTTATATATATAAATATTTTATAATAATTCTATACTTGTATGAATAATTTCTTTTGGGTAGATTTGACAAAAATAAAAACAAGAATTTTTTTAAAACCATACTTCCATTTTTATTAAGTAATTGACTCCTTATTTCCCTCATTCACACTTTATTAAGGAAATGTACTCCTTATTTCCATTCTCAAAACCCTTGTATATTACTCCTCTACTGCTTCTCCCCTTATTACTCCTCCTTCACTGTTTCCCCATTCCCCACTCACGACACTCATACGAAAAAAAAAAAAAACTTTCGCTGCTTCCCTTGCTGCGCTGCTGCTGCCTCAGCCGGAACTCACCACCGCAGCGCCGCCGGCGACCCTCACCACTGCCCTCAGCCGCCGCTGTCCAGCCGGTTTCCTCACTTCCCTCCTCTTCTATTTTCCTTTCTTTTCTTGTTTAAATTACTTTAAAGCTTTATTTTTATACGAATTTCTTTATGATTTATAATTATCATGGTTTGATTATGTTATGAGTTATAAAGGATTGTAACTTTATGGGTTATACTTTATTCGAATTGTGGGATTAAATTTCAGATTTAATTTATGCGTTAATTGGGGTTATAAATGTTGATTTTCATGATTTTAGGGTTCAATAACGTGTTGCTAAAGTTATTTAATTTGAGCATAATTTTGTTATGATTTTTGCTATGACTTTGATGATTTTAATTCAACAGCAAGTTCTTAATTTTTCGTAGCTAATTTTTTAAATTTCCGTTCGTAAAATTTCTTAATCACGTTTTAATCGCATTTTGACTGTAACTCGTCTGATTTTCGCAAAAAAATAATGTTTTTCGTGTGTAAATGATGTTCTAATCAAAACTCACTACCTATGGTAATGAGCACCACTCTCTCGTGGCCAAATTCAGCTTCTAAGTATGGTTTTCGTGCGGTTTTTGATTTTTTTTATCGAAGGTTAAATTGAGTTTTCATGAAACTAATTAAACTATGATTATATATTTCAAGTTTAGATTGTTGTAGTCCTATATTCTACTATTAAACTAAAATTTCAGATTTTAATCTTAACTTTAAATAGTTTTAAGTCATGGTTTTATGATGGGTTTTCAAGTTCTCAACATACTAACGTACTATATAATGATGATTTCAAATGAAAACGTTTATGCGGTTGTTTTATAATTTTAAACTAAATTTTCAGATTTATAATGTTACTTTAAAGTGCTGAAATTTTATGCTATAAGCTATACTTTTATGATTTTAGCATATAAACTCATAGTTCAAGTACTAATTATTAACTTTGGCTATTGAGAATAATTTAAGAGCATTATTTCAATGATTTAAAGGATTTTAAAGTAGTTGGTATTGTTGTAAAATATATTGCTTGGGGATTGATTGAACTACTGTTGTTTTGTTTAGGAGAGGACTTCGTAGAAGGTGACTTCTAGCCTTAAGGTGGCCAATCAATTTGTTTACTCAAGGTACGTACAAGAATACGAGGAACCTTGATTTTAGGAGCATGTTTAGGGACTTGAAAAAACCTAGAATCATGCTAGGGAACTTGTAGATTGGTTGGAATTGTTTGGTAATGAGTTGTTTGATGATGAATGTGATAGTTAGTTTAATTCATGCTTGAGAATGTGCATTGATTTTTCCTTATGAGCAGTATTTATGCAATAATGTTCAAAGTGAGCTTAGAGGCAAAGATATAATGAATTATTTTGATTACTTATTCGTTTATATTGAAATGGAATGAGTAAAGGAAGAATTAAAGTCTTATAAGACAAAGTTGAGAATTTGTGGTGCCTTATGCACTTAAGGTGTTTATACACCGAGGTAGTTAAAGGATGCAATAATAAATGTTGTTTGTCACTGATAAATTGAAAATTTAATTGGAAACTTGAATGATTTGATTGATTGATGTATGATTGGTTGAGTTGTTTGCATATGAGTCATCACCAAATTTTAAACCGGTAAATCACGTAAAGTGCAAGAAGGATGAGCAATAAAACTCTGGATTTGTGCACATCTAGAGTAATGACAAACATGGGTTGGGGTTCACGGGGTATTAGCCGTGCACTTTTCAGAGGCCGTCTGATCTACGAGTCTCTTGTTTTAAATTCTTTTAAAACTATAATGAGTTAGATGAGATCTCATACTAGCTATGGCCACGGAGTCGCGCCCGTCTGCCATTGGATGTTTATTAATGTCTTCCGAAAGGAGGCATAGGGTTTTCTTATTTATTGTTCCGGAATGGAGCACGGGGGGACAACCCGGTCTATTGCTTAATCCAATCAATTAATGAATTGATCAATGCTATTTAAATAAAAACTTAGTAATGAGTAACTATGGAGTCATGTGTTCGAGTCAATGATAATATTGTAAGTGTATGGAATGTTTGTTAGTATCATGCTAGAACTCTTTACTATATTTCGTAACTTGTATGTACTCAGCGTTGCTGATTGCGTGCTTTTGTGTGTTTTTCTTTGGTCATGGCCTTCGCCTTCAATGACCCTGTAATGATCCAATTATTACACTTGTGATATTGGGGAGCAGATTCATCACAGGTTTTTGCATAAACTGTCTTGCATCAGGGTGATGGGATTTGAGTGGAGAGTTGGTTAACCAGTTAGCTTATTTCATAACACAGATTGAATTTTATTTTGGTGTTGGTTCCATTACTTCCTATTTTACTGGATTTTGAATAAGGGCCGTTATGGTTCCAACTTGTAAGACTTTGAGTTTTGACTTCCAGTTTTGAAACTTATATTCTTTTTAAAACCAAGTTAGTTTTCCGTTGCTGATTTCTTAAACTAGCCTTAACGTTTGAACACGTGGCGGTAGCACTCCAATAATTCTCTTACAGGTTATACAGGTCTTACAGGTTATCACAAGTTTTTAAGGTTTTCTTTTAGAGAGAATTATTGGGGTGTTACAAACTAAGTGATGGGTGAAAATTGTTGTAGGCAAGGTTAAGGGAATGAAGATGCAAAAGGTAAAAGAGTGTGCTATTGTGGTGGATGACCCACCAAGTTGACTACAACTAAGATCAAGTCCAATGACCTGAGATAGAGTCACAAGTGACACCATCCCACAGGCAGCAATCTCTATCCTCCTTCCAAGATTTTGTCTTTGCATATGACGACCCATAATCTTGCACATCATAGTACATTTCGGATGAATGTGGGTGTACGGTGAGGCATTTTTGAAGTGCAGCAAAGCAATCTTCTCTTCATGGCGGCAAAACTGAATGGAAGAGATATGGAATTGTAACGAAATTGTTAGTAGTGGATGGAAAAGAAAGCAGAGAAATAAGAAAGAAAACTGAAAGAGATGAAACATTTTGATAAGCACTTAGATTTATGTAGTATAAATGGGCGAAATATATATATATATATATATATATATATATATATATATATATATATATATATATATATATATATATATATATATATATATGGTTCCGCTGAAAACAGGGCTTATGGTGAAAACTAAAACAGAGATCACTATATACAAAAAAAGGGTAAGTATATCAATTTTTACAACATTTACATTAAGGTCACTATATACAAAAATAAGGTAACTATATCGACTGAGTTTTTGACACCATTTACATAAAGGTCACTATATATAAAAATAAAGGTCACTATATGTAAAAATAAGGTAACTACATCAATTTTGACAACATTTACAACATTTCCATGATATTAAGTCATTATATACGAAAATAAGGTAACTATATATATATACTTCGGGTAATTATATCAATTTGACACCATTTACCCAGAGGTCACTATATATAAAAATAAGGTAACAATATCAATTTAACATTTATACAGAGGTCAGGTTAATATATTAATTTTGACTACATTTTAAAAAGATCACTACATGTAAGCCTATGTAGGATTCGAACCCACATCATGTGCACAATACAAGTACACAATGCTCAACCAATTGAGCTAATAGACTTTCGGCACACAAAAACAATAAAGCCAATAACTCATAAATTTTGCTTAACGAACCACACAGCATATATGTACAGCTTTTCCATATGTACTACGGTCATCCCAAACAAATATATCAACCTTTTCATTATAATTGCGTCAAAACTATCCGAAGCCATAGTTTATGCGGTACCAACACAGGCTAGCCTTCTTCCTGGATCATACTTACACGTAATACCAAAATCTCCCAGCTTAACCAATAAACCACCATAGAAAACTAATCCTTTTTCATCATGCAAGTGAGCAATACAAGAAAGACAAGACAGAGAGGCTTACAACATTTTTCTGGAAAGAATAAAGATATACTTACATTTATAATCCCTTCTTCACAAAAGGGATAATCCTAACACATCCAAATGAATTGCCAATTCTCTCATGTCCAAATTATTCCTGAATAAAATCAAAACAAATTCCTTAAACCTCAAAACATCCAACGAAACCAAAGAATCATTCAAATTAGAAACAACACCTACTTGACATCGAGAACATTCTGCAAAGAATTGAACGATCTGGTGTAAGCTTTCTAATCTGAACAGCCACACAAACACCAGCAAAGAGAGAGGGGGACAAAAATCACTGAAACCACCAACAACCATCAACACCACCAAACCCCCAAACCTAGACCACCACCACCACCGAAATCCCCAAACCCCGACCACCGAAACCCCAAACCCAGACCACCGAAACCCCAAACCCAGACCACCACAATACCGACACCACCAAAACCCCCAAACCCAGACCACCACAACCACCGACACCTACCAAAAATACCGAATCCACCCACAAACCCAGCGAAACCACCCATAAACCCACCGAAAATCACCGAAACCACCAACAAACCCACCAAAAATCACTGAAACCACCCACAAACCCACCGAACGTCGTCAGAACCTCCATTAATCAGATCCAAGCAACACTTAATAGATTTTCAGTTTTTAACTTAAGGTTGGTTTTTTACCTGATCCAAACTCTCTCTCTCTATATATATATATATAGGGAATGGATCATCTGAAAACTAGTCTAAGGCTGAAAACTAAAAACAGGTGATCTAGACCATTGAATTTTCATCTAACGGATGAGATTATATCCGCTTGATGTTTATTCTTGACCGTGGGATTTGTTCCTTGATTTCTGAAAATCCATTCACTCTCCTATTTTTTACTCTATTTTTTTCTCTCATCCATCTCACGTTCTCCATCTTCTTCATTCTCTCTTCTTCCCAATTCAATATCAACGCTGAACATCATTAAATTATAGAGGTATTTGGTTCAATCTTCGTCAATTTCGTCATTAGCTTCAAAAAAGTGAGTTTTCGTTTATGATTTTTGTTTAATTTGGTATTTTATATGTGTTTTTGGAAATACCAAATTGATTTTTCGATTTGATTTTTTTGAGTTTCGTAGGAGTAATTACACTTATTTGAGCTTTTTCTTGCTTAATCGAGTTTCATATGAGTGTAAATATGTTAAGATTCAACTTAATTTCTTCTTATGGCGTTTCTGAGCTTAATTTGTATATTTTTTTTAAAATTTTTTTTCTGCGATTTTGTTCGATTTCTTGTGCGATTTTGCGTGTTTTGTTCATCAATTTTGTTCGATTTCCAGTGCGATTTTGCGACTTTTGCTCATCAATTATTTCGACTTTTTTTCATCAATTTTGTTCGATTTTGTTTGATTTTGCGATTTCCTATTCGATTTTGTTCAATATCCTTGTTCTAAATGGCTAGCAGAAGGAATCGTCGCCGTGCAGCAGAACGCCTACTTCATGCTTCGTGCTGTGGTAAATTTCATCCAATTTTCTTTTTTCTACTGGATCAGATTCAAAATATTTTGTATTTTCATTTTTAATTTTTGTTGTAAATTCAATTTTTAGGATTCCGATAATCTCAGAGAAGCTCTCAAGTACTCCGCTCAAATGCTTTCAGAGCTCCGAACCTCTAAACTTTCTCCTCACAAGTATTTTGAACTTTGTGAGTAATTTATTATTTGCATGAATTTTTAGTGTTTTAAAATAATTTTTATTGATTTTTTTAATCGTGTTTTGTAAGATATGAGGGCGTTCGACGAATTGAAGAAGTTGAAATTGTTCTTCAAGGATGAGAGCAGGCATGGTCTTGCAGTTTCTGATCTTTACGAACTTGTTCAGCACGCTTGCAATGTGTTACCGAGGCTGTAAGTCTTAATTAGTGAGGTCAATTTCATAATGTTTACATTGAATGTTGTTTTGGAGAAATGTTATGGAGATTTTACAATTTTATGACTGAACTTGGAGTAAAATTTGATTTGACTTTGGAATTTTCGCCGTCTTTTGATGCATTAGGATGTGTAGTTGCGTAGTTAGTATCAATCCTGGTATTCAAATTCTAGGGAAATATCAAAACCGAGGATTGGTGAATAATTTGGTCCGAATGAAAGTTTGATTTCTAGTTTCTCATCTTCTCTTTTATTTTAATTTTGGGATTGTAGATGTCAATCGGACTAGAATATGTTGTATTTTGTTTGGAGAAGGTTTGTGTATATATTGTGTGTTATATTCATTGTGTCGACAATGAAGAACTGGCCAATACTTTGGCAATAATTGATGGAAACCGATTTTTTGGCTCCCGCAGCAACTGAGTCCCTCCGAGGCTCTACTCTGTCCTTCAATGCTGGCTTTAATACTGCAGTTCCGTTTTATGCAGTAACCTTTACTTTGCTTTCTACTCCGTAGTTTTAATGTACCAGGAAACATTAGTGGTTTAGTCACTCTTTTTTTACTAGTTATCTTTTTATTAATATGTACAGTGACCCCTGATTTTGTGCAATAATATGAGTTAATAGCCATGGAGTATATTGTTTTTGTGTGCTGGAAGCCTATAGCTCAATTGGTCGAGCATTGTGCACTTGCATTGCACATGATGTGGGTTCGAATCCTATATAGGCTTACATGTAGTGATCTTTTTAAAATGTAGTAAAATTGAATTTAATTAGCTTATTTTTATTTATAATGACTTATATAATTACCCGAAGTTTATATATAGTTACCTTATTTTCGTATATAATGACCTTTGTGTAAATGTCATACAGTTACCTTATTTTTATATATAATGACCTTTGTGCAAGTGTCCTCATAATCGATATATATATATATATATATATATATATATATATATATATATATATATATATATATATATATATATATATATATATATAGGGTCGGGATCCGGTGAGAACCGCCCCTTATGTGAGGACACTCCTAATATATGAGAACAAATCTAAGCCTTAGAATAAACAATATCAACGGCTCTAATAAATCCAAACTTTTCATATCAAACATAACAAACGATAGCTGCTACTCAGGAAAACAGAGCAAAGAACTATGAGCTTCAATTTAAGTGAGATTCAAGAATTTCGAACATTATTCCGTTTGATTTTTGTCAGATTTCAGCAGCAACAAGAATCAACAAGCTTCATAGATTATACAGGTAAATAATCAACAAAAGTGTTAGTGTTTTTCGAATGTATTTTTCTTAATTTTTGTTAGTATTTTCGAATTTCATGGTTTGAATGTTGGATTTTCATTAAAATTTTACCAATGAGTGATCTTAGCATCAAAATTTACAAAATATATAACTCGCAAATTTGAGGATTTCAAATTGTTAGTATTTTTCAATTGCATGTTAGTGTTTTTCAATTGCATGTTAATCTTAGTGTTTGAGGATTTCAAATTGTTCAGTTTGAATTAATTTCGTTAATTGTATGTTAATTGCATGATAATTTTCGATTTTGAGGTTTGTTCTGTTCTCATTGAATTACATGTTTAATTGCATCAATCGCCAGTTATTGAATTGCATGTTAATTGCATGATAATTTTTGATTTTTAAGGTTTGTTCTATTCTCATTGAATTGCATGTTTAATTGCATCAATTATTGATTTGATTGAATTTACTTCTTTGAAATTTTTTGAATTAAATCAATAATTTAGGTTTGATTAATTTGATAGAGAATGAAAATTTGCAATCAAATTTAAAATGAGCAAATGAATTGAAAATGAGCAAACCTAAATATTTGTAATAATATAAAAAAAATATAATGAGCAAACATAATTAAAATGAGCAAACAAAAAAAAAGAGCAAATATAAAAATGAGCAAATGAGCAAAATAAGTTAGTAATGGTGGTGGTAGGGTGCAAGGGACAGGGGCGGCGGCGGGGGAGTGAGAGTGAGACATGTTTGTGGTGGTGATAGTAGTGGTGGTAAGGTGTAGGGACAAGGGCAGAGGAAGGAGAGAGAGTTTGGTGGTGGTGGTGATTGTACGGTGTAAGGAAGAGGGTGAGATGTGGCATTCAGCTCATTAACATGAGTTGCAGAAGTAGTGAAAGTGAAAGAGGTAGCTGTAGCTAATGAGCAAATATTTAGTTGCTCATTTATCAAATGAGCAAATAATTAGTTGCTCATTTGTCAAATGAGCAAATAGTTAGTTGCTAATTTCACAAATGTGCATTGAATTATTTGCTCATTTGACAAATGAGCATTTAATTATTTGCTCATTTGACAAAAGATCAAAGAATTGTTTGTTTATTTAAAAAAATGAGCATTGAGTTCCTTAGTGTGCTTGCCTGTGCACAAGCCGCACCCCCTTCTTCTTGGTCTGTCTGCATACCAACCACACTCCCTTCTTCCACTTCCCTGCGCAAACCTATCCCCCCTGCCCCTTCATCTTTCTGCCTGCAGTTCTGATTTCAGAAATTGTTGTGTGTGTGTGTGTGTGTGTGTGAGCGCGCGTGTGTGTGTTGTGTGTGTGTGAGTGAATGTAAGAGTGTATGTATAAGTGTGTGTGTTTGCTTCTGGCCGCGTACATTCTTATTTAAGAATCTAATTTCAATTCTAATTATTGAGAGTTTGTGTGTAAGTATGTTTAAGGGGGTGCATATTCACTTGTTACTATTTTGTGGAATTATTAAGTGGTTGTTAGAGAGGTCAATATCGCTCAATTGTGTCAAGTCACAAAATGATGAGGTTATCTCCCCATGAAATTTGTTATTGGAAGCCAAAAACACAGTGGTGTTGGGTGGTGGCAAAGGAAGCAAACCTTGTAAAGAGTTAGAGCGAAGATCAATGTATTCTAAGCTCTTGTAAGAAGGAGGATTTAAACCTCCTGTAAAGTTATTGTGAGAAATATTTAAATCCTCCAATAAATCTTTTCTAACATCGTACATCCCAGCTGAGATTTCACCTTGGAATCTATTGTTGGAGAGATCCAAAATTCTTATAGGTTGTTGGGAATTTAAGATTTTGGGAAATTCGGTAATGTTAGAAGAAGACAAGTACAAAGTGGATAAATTAGGCCAAGCAAATGTAGAGTCAAGCCCTTCAATCCTTGATATACTTAATAGGTTAATATTTACAACATTATTGCACTAGGAGAAATATTGAGGTGAAGGTTTAAGTTTTTAGAGCTGAGGTCAAGATCTTCTAGTAGACAATTATCTTTTGGAAATCGTCCCTTGACTTTCCCAATAAATTGGTTGCTAGCAAGATTCAACTATACTAGAGATGGAAGATTCATTAACCAAGACGGTATGGACCCCTTTAACAAGTTGTTTGATAGACTAAGGGACCTTAATTGTGAAAACTCTTTTGTGTTAAATGGAGAGGGTAATTCCCCGATTAATTGGTTATTATCTAGCCAAAGCATTTCCGTTTTCTTCCAAATCCACGTAGGAATAGTTCCGGAAATGTTGTAATAGGATGCTGAAAATTGGCTCAATTGCGATAGTTTCCTTTCACTCGAAATTTCAGGTAACCTAATTGATAAAGTAGTGTCGGTGAAATGTATCACCTGCAGTGAGCTACTCAAGTTGTTGAACACTAAGGGATCAATATATAGATTAGGATTTTATCCGACTTTGAGAGATCGCAAGTGTGGTAAGCTCAAAATGTTAGAGGGAAAGGCTCCTTGCAAGCCACAATCATACATCTCTAGAGAGGATAAAGAGAGGTTGACCAATGTTTGGGGGAAGGCTGAATTAATTACACCTCCGTTAAGATGGAGTTGTCTAAACTTAGTAAGATTTCTTACAATTTTATCAAAATGCGGAATTTTAATTCTTGAAAAAGTATAAGGATAGTCAGCATTTGTAGCGATATCCCCAACGAGATTATCCCACTCAATTAATTGAATAGTGAGATCTAAGGAAACAAGTTGAGAAAGTTGACTGATTTCAATAGGAACATCATCGGTAAAACTAGAGTGTGAGAGGTTTAGAACTTTCAGTCTTGAAAAATGTCCCAATTTTGGGGATATATGCGATGGGTGAAATTCGTTATAAGCAAGGTTAAGGTACTAAAGATGTGTAAGGTGAAAGAGAGTGTTATTGTTGTGGTGGATAATCCCGCCAAGTTGACTAAAACTAAGATCAAGTCCACTAACGTGACCTGAAGTGGAATCACAAGTGACACCATTCCACAAGCAATAATCTCTATTTTCCTTCCAAGATTTTGTCTTTGGATAAGATGAACCAAAATCGTAAATTTCGGAAAAATGAGGGTGAATAGTGAAGCCATTTATGAATTGAAGCAAAGCCATCTTTGTAGGGTTTCGTAGTGACCCACACTACGCGGAATGAAACCCGCCAAGACCCGCCCCCATAATAAATGCAATTAACAAGCAAAACATAATTTAAAGCATAAGAAAGGATAAAAGATTACACCTTTGACGCGTGCTTTGCTCAACTATGAGCTCTTACTTGAACCCCGATAGTGCGAGGTCTCCGACGGGATCGTACCCTCGAACCCGACCCGATCGTCCTAAGCCTCGAAGGTTAGTCAAGGCCCGGACAAAATAAACTAGAGTTTTACGAATTTCAAGGTATGCTCAACAATGGAGTTTCCTTTACTTTTCAACTCAAGTGTGTTCTTTCCCAAATACCCATGCCTTGGTATTTATAGGGAAATGAACCCTTGATTTTCATTCCCCAACCAATGTGGGAGAATGAGTAATTTTGATAATTAATTTAATTCCAAATTAAATTAATAATCAAATCAATCACAATGCAACAAGTGTCAAGGGGGGAGAGAGAGCTAGGTGAGGACCATGAACCTTGGGGGGGACCATTGCCTTGCTCCCCAAGGCATGCTCCAAGCCTTTGGTCCCACTCACCTCAAACCGCCTCAAGCAATGGCTGTGATGGCAGCCACCTATCACGCCAGCATGCACCAGCTGGCATGACTAGCACACACAGCATCACTGCCCAGCACGCAATGCGCACCAGCCAGCACGCTAGCGAGCCACGCATGTTGCTGGGCTGCTGGGCGCTGGGCGAGGCTCCCTTCGCTGCTGCTGCTTGCTGGCAAGCATGCACTACTCTCTCGCATAGCTAGCATGCACTAGCACTCGCACACGCACACGCACAGGGCGATGCCTGGCATGGTGCTGCTGTGCGAGGCTGCTGCTGCGATGGTGCGAGACACACACGCACACGCACATACGCAAGTGCCCAGCACTGCGATGGCTGTGCTTGGTGCGTGTGGCCTGCTATGGCGCCTAGGCACCCAGGCACACATGTTGTGGTGCTGCTGTGCCATGCGAAGGCACGCACACACACGCACATGGTGCTACGATGGGCAGCCTAGTGCGCCTAGCACTCATGCCTCGCCTAGCACACCATGGTGCGCCTAGCACACACATGGTGCGTCTAGGCTTGCGATGAGCTAGCCTAGCCTAGCATTTCACATGGCTAGGCCAATGTGATGGTACGGCTATGCTCGTATTAGTCGATTGTGATTTTGCGACGCTCGAACTCGAAGCCCTGGGCTCGACATCCGACGTCTGTGTTCGTAAAACTCCGATGACTCATTAAATCTATCGGATTAATTCGTCGTCTCGGATCGGTTGTTCGATTGGGTTCGACCCGAAGGGTTCAGTTAAGATTAAGCTGTAATATTAATTATACCTTAATATTACTGATCGGAAGCGGCCTCCACCCAGGCATTCCGATCACTTGACCTTACTGAAGAATTAGTTCTGTAATAATTCTGAACTCTCTATCAGAATAATACACTTGTTGGAAGGACACCATTCCTTTCAATCTTTTCATCCTGGTGGCATAGTTGAAAAGAGGAGTTTAGGAATGGTAACGAAATAGTTACAAGTGGACAAAAATGAAAGCAGAGAAAGAAAGAAAGAGAATTCATAAAGATGAAACATCTTAATGAATTATTGCATAGATATATATGTGCAGTATATAGGGATGACATAAATGAATGGAAAAGAAGGCAAGAAACAAAGAGAACATAATACACTACTTAAATAGGAAGTAGAACAGAACATTAGCCGTGGAATTCCATTTTACCTACACGAGGTAATTCTATATTAGTTCATCATTGCTAACGCACATAAAGTTAATAGCTTACTAATCTTAATATGACTTATAATTTGCAAGGAATCTAAGTCTTGATACATAATCATGCAAAAGGTTATTTAGGCTATAAAGAACATAATCATGCAAAAAGGAAGACAATTAGCATAAAAATTCTGAGACATTAAAAATTAGCACTTAAATAATACAAGCATGATATAAACATGCACCATGCGTGAAATAGTCCTGTAGCTTAAGCTTTCATATCATGGCCAAAGATGGTTGTTGATAGTTTCTTGACTCAAAACAGTCTATTAAAGGTTGTAGTGGATTTCAAACAATTTGCGATACGTCTTCATTCTACACCGGCCGAAACAAATGGATTATGCACTAATTCCATTTTCCAGCAATCGGATGAAGTTTATCTTGAAAATAATGCACTAAGTAAGATATATATTATGTCACCTTTATAAAAGCTGACTGTTCAATAGCATGATACCACAATGATGTAAATTCCGTTTGGTAAACTGAAGGAAAAATTGCATCTTAAGGCCTGTTCACTTCAACTTATTTTCAGTTCAGTTGAGTTCAGTTCAATTCAGCCCCAATCAGTTCAGCTCTGTTCTGTTCAGCTCCAATCAGTTCAATTCAATTCCTAATATCCTTCTCTCATAAACAATTCATTTCAGCTTAGTTCAGTTCAGTTCAGCTCAGCTCCGATCAATTAAGTTCTTTTCAACTAAAATGAGCAGACTCTTAAAACAAAGATTCTCAGATAACTCGTCTCAATCATTCCACTTTAACCCCAGGCCCCGACAAGCATAATGAATGACTATACCGCGACACTGAAAATAAACTATCACACTACCTTGCTCTTGCATACAAGCAAAGGCAACCTGGAACTTTTCTCCACTCCATCAACCCAATATCAAGGGAATATATGAGCAAAGATGTCAGTCATCAAACATGTTAACAAGACCAGTCTTGGGAAGGGGGAAGAGCTATAGACCAACCTTATGTTTTAGAAATTGGAAAATTTCACATCGGTCAACTGCAGATAATAGTGGTATATCACATATGATAAACCTGTTTGCAGCCTTAAGCAGGATCAGTTAAGCTTGGTTAGTCTTTTGATATAAACCGAAAATCAGAAAAAACAAAGGAACAATGATATACAAGCTCAAACTACAAAATATCTGATAAGTTGAATTGGAAGTTTGGGAAGTCAAAAGACCTGAAAAGAAGAACAGTAATGGTGCCAAAGCTAACAAGTAGTGCTAATAAATTTAGTTATAAAATAAAGCTTACAAATCTTTAGAATATCATCAGATAAATAATTCTTATCTGAGGAATTCACAGTCATCATCAATGTCCAGTAGAACTTTGTAACTGAGTCCTAGAAGGCAGTCTCGGGACAAACTTTCTTCTTATGTTCGGACTTTGGAATAACAAGATAAAAATACACTTCATCATGAACACATACCAAAAAGAAAAAAAAGAAGCAATCATATAGTATTCAGATATATGAAACTTATCTCAAACTCTCTAAGCCATACAAGATATGCCTTAATACAACCATTTGAGAAGCTACCAACAATGATGAATATAGAAACAGCATATCGTTTATAACTTTTATGAATACACAATGGAACAAAAAGAGAATGTTAAGTAAACATAAATCATACTGACTCTGTTCAACACAGTATATAATATCAAAGTTGTGGGATAGGGAAAAGATATGGAAAGAAGAGTTCTTACAATGTTGAAGAGCCACTGTGAGAAAACTAGGCTAATGCCTTGCTCTTCTTATTATCTCTGTTCTTTCCACGATCTAGATGTTAGCCATGGTGATGTTCTATGATTTGAGATCCATTAGGGACAGAATGTTGTGCTGCCAGCTCATTATTTCAACTGCATTAGATACAACACATACACAGAATAATTCAACATGCACAGTAGCAACACGACAATGTTATTCTAACCATATCTTAATATGTTAAACTGCCCACCATAACTTCCTTCTTAGGCTACACAATCCATTAACATCTATTGAGCACCTCATAGTGACTGACCTACAGTCAGTCACAAATGTTAACATTACTTTAATTTCAAAATCTAGCTACAATACCTAGAGATATGATCGGTAAAAAATAAGTAGATACTACAAAACTCAACATATCAAAAAATTTCAATCAATTCAAAACTTGACAGTATAGAACAACTGAAATTCAAATTATAATTTGTATCAAAAATAGATAAACAAGTACCTTTGTCCCAATCACGCATAATCTTGCACGCTGAATCCACTTCGTCAAACAGCTTTGCATTATTACAAGCACCAGATATTTGAAAAGATGCAAATTACATTTTAATTTTTTCTCATATCAATTATCGAATTAAGGGGTACTAATAAAAGAGAAAGAAAGAAGACTGCCTCAGAGAAAGGAGATTTTGGAGGACAATTTTGCATAGTTGGAGCTTGGACAGAAGCCCTTACTGATGCAGAAGTGGATACAAGGCCAACTGGTGGCCGTTGTGGGCCTCCTGAAGAAGAATAACATGGTCCACCAGGAAATGTCCCAGCTGAGCACATTGGAAGTCTATCACTAATTTCTCCTGGAGAGGCAGTCAGAGAAGCAACTTGACCAGTGGACATTGGAAGAGACCCAAAGCCACCTGGTCGAGCTATGATAACCCAATCTCCATGACAAACATGGTAACCCATAATCATAAGAGGTATACGTATACCACCAAAATCATTCATAGATATAAAGGCAAAACCACAGGGAAAAAAATGAAGGGAACAAGGAAAACATATTCACCAAAGTCAAGTACCTTTACAAATGAACTCCTCCAGGATTCTCATGACACAGGCCCTAAGATTATAGGAGCTCCAGAGAAATATTGTCATCATGTATACTCAGATTACCTATGGCAGCCTTGACACTCAACGAAGAAGGAAACACCTAAGAAGAACAACTTCAGATCAGCTAAACTCAATTTCAAAAGAATGAAAGCAACAAACACAGCATAATTAAATATCAAAGTAAGAGGTAAGATCAGGTGAAGCTCAACATCAGTAAGAAGATTATCTTGCGACAAAGTGGTGAGCTTAGTTTTATCCTCCATCACAAGAACTATTTGTGCACATGCCATATTCAAGACCAAGCTCAAAATTACTCTAAACTACCCCCTTCTTAAGAGACCTTTGGCAAACAGACAGTGCAACAGAAGTTGATGGATCAACACCGTCAACAGGAATTTCATGTTGATGAGTGTCTATTGATTTACTGTCACTGACAGTTTCATATCTTGCTTCTTCAACATTTGATACCACACATAAAATCCATAACAGCAGTAATTGTAGGCCTATCGACAGAAAATGATAGGGTGCTAAGTGTCACCAACGCCTGCAGCAACCTCAAGAAAGTCAGAGTGGACATCATGAACCAATTAGACTCAGCTGCCAAGCACAGGGATAGTAACTCACCATCCTATCAGTTTTACAATAGAAAGGGAAGTTTTCAGTTGTAAATTGAAAAGAGTTTTCAAGCAGATCACATACCCTTCCAAAGTTGTGGGTCTAAAAGCAGACACTTCAGGGTTCATACAGTCAATTTCAGGAAAAATCTCCGGAGCCTCATACAACTTGTCATTACCACTAGTAACTTGCTCTGGCATAATGACATTTGAAAGTTTCAAAGAACTTTTATAACATAAGTTAACAAAGCTTTCAATGCTAATCTGCTACTAAGCCTCGTATAACCTGAGCAACTTATTTTATAAGACACCGTTCTAGCTTTAAAGACCCAAATAATCTCATTTCTTTATAAATGCTACTTGTCTTGCACATGGTTTAGCGTTTTAGGTAAAATTTTGTTATATATTTTCACTTCCATTACAGTTTAAATTGGTTATACTATATTAATTATGCCAATCAATTCTTTGCTACAAAATTACTATTTCTCTATCTCCTCAATAATATTCCTTCCATTTTTCTAGGCTGTATTACCAACAGTTTTCAAGTTCCTCAAAAAACTATGCTTCACGAATTCAGATTATATCTGATCGTGTAAATCATCCGATTCTACGCTATTCATCTTCAGAAATATATAAAGATAGAAGAGCCTACGAGGGATTCGAACCCACATCCGTGTCCATTTGCACGCTGCTCTTCCAATTGAGCTGTAGGCTTGTCAAAAAAGGGTTAAGAAAAGATAAAATTAAATAACTAGCACAGAAGTCTACGATAATCATGAGTTGTATTTAAAACGGTCATACAGGAAAAGATGCCACCATTTATTTTTTTTTATCATTTTTTGCTTTCTTAAAATTTGGTAATTCTAAAATTTGATGAGGGCCAAGTAATTTTAAGTTGTAAAAGACTAAAATATGTAGAAATTCTCTTCTGTGCAGCATAGTACTGCTGAATTATGACTTCATATAGTGGATTCATTACGAATAGGAGATTACGTTTGCAATTAATGATTTAATGGTATCATGTCACTTTGAGTTACTAACAAGTGTTAAAAGGCAAGACATGACTCTCTTGTGAGCCGATTGGGCAAAATTTCATATTAATGTAGACATGATTGAGCTAGCTAACAAGTACAAAATGCAAAAGTTTAAAGCATAAACAATATAACAAATATGAAGACATCCAATTTTAATGGCTAGCACAAATTCAGATTTTCACATAACAACAAATGAACGTAGAGTTGGCCTCGCTATTACCATTATTGCATATTGTTTCAGCATCTTCCGCGAGTACATTGTTGCAACAGCTATCCGTTGACATTCTTTAAGCTGCCCATAGTAGTTTGGATAATTAAGACCAAAACATAATCCCGCTGCACAATTAGAAGCCTAGACATAGAAAAACCGAAAGTTATTAATCCAATAATCACAATGAAGAACCAATACTAGTCTTGATAAGTTTGCACTAACTGCAATCAAACCCCGCTTTTGAATTGTAACAAAACAGAATCTACAACAACATCAATCAGGCAAATTATTGACTATTTATGTTTAAAACTTTGGCTTCTCTACCTTTTGCTATTGGTCCAATTTTCACTCTTGAAATCTAATTAGTTTAAGTTAATTAAATAAAAAAATTGCACAATAGAACATTAGAACCACTGTAACCATACTTGCTAAGATTCAAAGCTGAAAATCTTTTAATGAGGTACTCCTTCCTAAATAAGCTTACACTAGATGGAATACACCTTCCTAAGATATCATTAGGTGATTTTGATTCCCGTGGAACACTTCACAGTTTACATAACCTGCATTGGATAACCCTGTGAAACTCTGTTTAAGTATATATATATATATATGAGAACTATTTTTATATAAGAACCATGAGAACTCCTCAAATTTAGATCATATGTTACCTTTATTAGAACATGAAAACTTACACATACATGCACGTTCTAAAATATCAAGGTCATGTTCTAAAACATCAAAATTATGTTCTTTATTTTTGAGGTTATGTTTTGAATTTTTTGTTTTCTGAATTATGAAGGTTATGTTCTAAACACAATAATTGAAAACATTACCTTGAAATTTTAGAACATGTATATTTGTTTAGGTTTCTATGTTCTAAAAAGTATTGCATATGTTCTAAATTTGAGGAGTTCTCATGGTTCTCATGTTATGAGAGTTCTCATGGGATCCTCACCCTATATATATATATATATATATATATATATATATATATATATATATATATATATATATATATATATATATATATATATATATATATATATATATAATGTTTTAAATCAAACTACATACAGTCCATGCAATCCTAATAAATCAAAAATTAGATCTGCAATAATTATAGTTCTATTTTCAGCACCTTAGAAATACGAGTGATGGATCATAGTACATTGAACTCATCAGATTCAGTCATCTCCTCAACATGTCTGTATAAATATATCTTCAGTTAATTGATTGCCTCATTAACCCTCAGAGAGACCCTTTCAGCAATGATCACATATATGGTTCAGAGACCCATTTGATATAGATCACAATTCACACTTCAAACACTTAATCGAAATCGCAATGATGTGAAAAAAACTAAGCATCAGATAAATTCAAAATCCAGCTACAATACATCAGTGATATGATCAAAAAATTGAAAATAAAGACTGCAAACTCAATTCATAAAAAATATTAAATTCAAAACTGAAATTTGCAGTTTAATTTGCATCACAGAAATAGAAAAACAAGTACCTTTGACCCAATCACTCACAAGAGCCAGTTTATTTTATTCTTTTAAGAACACGAAAAATAATCATTAATCATCCAAAATTTGATTTTTAATTGAAATAAAATACTATTAATAAGAGAGAAACAATGAAAAATAGCTCGGAGAAGAGAAGATTTGTAAACAGTTTTGCATTGTTGGAGCTTGGACAGAAGCCCTTACTGATGCAGCAGTCAGTGGTAAACCGCCTGGTGGCCTCCTGGAAAAGAAAAAAGTAGTCCACAATGCAATGTCCCAGTCAAGAACATAAGAAGCATACCGTCCACAATGCAATGTCCCAGTCAAGAGCATAAGAAGCATACCACCAAAAAAAAATTCATATATATATAGACAAAATCACAAAGAATAATATCAGAAGGAAACATAGAAAACATATTCATAAAGGTGGAGTACCCCCACAAATGAACTGCCCCACTGGGTTTACCTTGTCATAGGCCCTAATATTAGATTATAAGGGCTGCAGAGAAAGACTTTCATCACTAATTCTCAGAAAAACTATCGCAACAAATGCCTATGCTAAAAAAACTCAATATCATAAGTATGGGAGCAAGAAATACAGCATAATATTATAGTAAGGTAAGGGGCAAGCTCAAGTGGACGTCAACATTAGTAAGAACATTATCTTGAGACAAAGAAGCAAGCTTAGTTTCATACTCCATCACAAGAACTATTCGGGCACGTGCCATATTCAAGATTGAGTAAAACAAAATTCTGGAATTCTCCTTACCAAAGAGACCTTTAAAAAAAAGCAGAATAACAAAATCAACACCTTCAATGAGAACTTCACTATGATGAGTCCACTAATCTACTATCATTGACAGAGTGACAGTACATAGCTTGCTTTTTCAATATTGATACCACTCATAAAATCAATAACAGCAGCAACAGTAGGCCTACCACAGAAAAATGACAAGGTGGCAAACCAGGGGAAAGTCAAAATAAACATCAAAAACCAATCAGCCTCAACTACAAAGAGCAGAGATAATGTGAATTCTGAGCAGTGAGCACCATGCTAAAGTTGGGGGTTTAAACGCTGACACTTCAGAAGTCACAAAGTCATCAGGTAACGTGAATTCTCACATAGTTGAGCAATTTGAAACAGCCTCTAAATCCCTTAATACCAATTCAGTTATATTGCAATTTTAGCAAAATTTTCAAGAATAAACCATCACAGCAAAAGCCTGAAGTTATAATTCATGAATAAATATTAAGCAATTGCTTTTTACATTGTCACATAAAGCATTAACCCCAAAATCGCATATTTGAAAGTAAAAGTAAAAAAATAAATTGCATACCTTTCAATAAGACAATCATCATCCTTCTCCAAGCTTCTCCTATAATTGCAATCTTCAACTTTTCAAATCGATAAAATAACCATGCTGAAAAAATCAAGTAAAATTATCAAGACAGATAATCAAGAGCACAACTTCCACATACTGATGAGTGATGCATAGCACTACACTTTCGGAGTCATCGGAATCATAGTGCACTTCATACAGTTGTTTCCCTCTCAAAAAGCAACATCAAATTGCCAAATTACCACTGTAATTAACTATCATTTAAGCTTATGCACATATAATCAAAAAAAGGGTTGATAAAAAATGTAATATAAACTGCATAAGTCACTTTAGAACTTATACATATCAAACTTTTTCAGTGAAATTTTATTTTTCACTTTTACATCGAATCGACCATATTTTCTATTTTCTATGAGGTAGAGGAAGCAATTAATAAACCAAAATGAAAAATGATTAATTCAATAAAATTGTGAATTATAGGGAATAACTAAGAAGGGTATAGAATGCAAACAAACGGAAGAATTTCAATCTAAATTAGCATACTAGATTGATGATTTCACTAAAGATAATTTATATAGAAGGTAGACAAGGCATCCATCTCATAAATAAATTGCATAATCACGTTCAAAATCTCTGTGATAGATGATGATGATGACGATGAGGAGGAGGAAATGAACTATCACAAAGATGATGATGTTCACTTTCAAAATCTTAATTATTCATAGAATTTTTTTCCAAAAAAAAAAAAAAAAAAGGCCGATAACAGAGATGCATAAGTCAACCTGAAATTCACACATAAAACTGCTACAATAAAGCCCAAAATTGAAAAGGAATACAAACAATGTAGCACGAAAATTGTAAGATTACAAACAATTGCATTTTACACAATACAAACCGCTAGAAAACCCTAAATTCCCAAAACCGCGTAATAACAATTAATTTATTATTCACTGTAGAACCACAATTATTATGCAGCCAGCAAACTAGGGTTAATGTTAATCGACCTTTTTACTAAAATTAGGGTTCGATGGAAAAAATTGGCAGCAAATTAGGGTTGGATTGGGAGAAATTGTAATGGATGAAGCAATTAGAAACCGCCTATATATTAACCCAATTATCTAAAACATTACCAATTTCGTTATATATATTACAATGTTAAACGAATGAGTTAGATAAGAAATTCAAGCAATGTAGCACGAAAATTAATTGTAAGACTACAAACTTAAAAACCCCCCAAAATCGCATTAGTAAAAATTACGTACCTTTAGTAAAATTGGATGTGCGCGAGCTGAAATTACGTAGCGATTAAGTGATCTGATGCTGAAATTACGTAGCGATTAAGTGATTTGATGCTGAAATGGATGATCGATAATAAGGAAACTAGGATTAGGGTTCTTAATTAGGAGTTTTGATTTGATTAAAGTAAGAAAGGGGGAAATTAGAATGTGGAGGGAAATTTGGGAGAAATTATCTATTATTTATAAATATAAATAATGGAGGGAAATTGTTGACTTGTTGTGGGTGATCGTATTTATATACAAGTATTGTATTGTCGGTTATTCAATACGTGTACAGCCGTATTTTTATTGTATCTTTATTTTACACCATAATTTCAGTAGCTGTTCTTTTTTATTTTCAGTAGCCGTATGTGGGTTGTATTTACGGTAGCAAGTTAGCACTTAGCAGCTGTATTTATAGTTATATATTTATTTTATTTGTATCCTTATGTGTATCGGTTTTTTCTACCTACGATTCTATATTGAAAATGAAAACTACAGTGAAAATCACTTTTTCTGATTTTTTATTTTTAGTTTTCAAAAAAACTGAAAAGTGAAAACAGAAAACAAAAATAGTTATCGAACGAGTCCTAAACTTTCATGTTGGAATATTTCTCTATTAGCAAGGCAATCCGCTACCGCATTGCCTTCTCTGTAACAATGAGCCAACTCAACTTCCCAACTGTTATTTTTTATGATGTTGCGACATTGTTGGAGGATAAAGAAGCATTCCCCACCTGCATAAGCTTTGCTAAGAAATAAGAATTGATTGGATACAAGCAATGTCATCCATTTGGATTATTAGAGTTTTAACTTTTTGTTTAGTGGGTTTGACTATTGGTTTGAAAAGGTTTATACTTTATCTGTTTCAAATTAATCGTAACAAATGGGTATTATTTGTGAGATATAAAAGATTCATTTGTTGCGATTAATTTGAAACGGAGGAAGTATAAATTTGTGTGAGGTAAACTCATAACTGATTGCTAAAGTTAAAATTATTTGTTCATGTGAATTTACATTTATGGCATTTGTCTTATATTTTTCCCTAGGTTTATGGATTGTACATAATGAACAAAATTGTCAATTGACATTAAGTAATCTAAAATTCTGATGAAAATGCTGCTCAACTCAGTTTTTTGGAAAAGAGAGTTATGAGGCCAAAACTCTTAGTTAAAAACTCCATTGACCAAACACCACCTTTAGAGGTTTTGACTTGTCAAACCTCAAGTGGTCCAAAGTCCAAACCTCTTAAGGCCCCCCAAAATTCTCTTTGTCGGACGCCCCTTGAATATCTATGTAGGGATTTGATAGGACGTCGTCAACCTATCAAGAAATAAGACCTAACTCGATCCTACTCAACTAGTAGCAAGGGCAAGAAAGGGTCGAACCCATGAGAGGCGTTGAATCAACCACCAAATGTTATTGTTTAAACAAGCTAGATTAAGTCGGGGGTTTTAAGTTGGTATTACGTCACACTATTCTAATTCAAATCAACTAATTCTAAGAGGTGATTAACAATATTAAGAAGGCCTAGGGCATGGGTTACACCACTCAACTTCATCACGGACCACAAGTAGCATGCATAGAAATGGTGATTTAGGGGATAAATTAGGGGAAGTTATCAAATGCACCCAACTACTCTCTCAAGCTAGAGGGATTACTTGACATCAAAACCATAACCTACTCTCGTGATTATGGGCAAGAAACAAGTGTTAAAACATCCTCACGATAACATGCAAATTCCCTTGACTAGAAATTCCTATTCTCATGGCAAATCAAGTCAATCAAGCATAAGGGAGCTTCCTCAAGTTCATCTCTCGATCCTTCGTTGAGGAAGCTAGATAAATAATTCAAGCAATGGCCAATTAAAAGAATTAACAATGAAACCTCTTAAGCTCAACTAATTAACACCCCACAATTAACAAATTAGTACATGCAACAAGTGTTGGTGATTACATTGAGGGTTCACCCAAACCCTAGAAATTAGACTACTCACAATCCATGGAAGTTAAAGCAATTAAAGATTTCAAGGAATTCATGAACAAATTAAAACTAAGAATTAAGTAGAATCTAACAATCAAACATGCAAAGAACAACCAAACAATTAATAAAAAACAAGAATTAAAGATAGAAGAGAGAAAGAAAGAGTAAGAAAAATTACTAGAAGCTTCAATAATTGACTAACAATGGGGGAACTTGTCTTCTACAATGATTGGATTGAAAACCTTCAAAACAAGAACTAAAATCTATGCTAATTTGAGGATTTTTGTGTTTCAAACTAAGAGGAGTATGAAAATCTGGAAAAGAATTGGGAACCCCTCTAAAATGGTCCAAAGGGGCTATTTATATTACCCCCTAAAATAAGAGGACGGTGAAAACAAGAAACGGGTAAACTGTAGGTCTGCACGGACGTGCTGAAGTTGGCACGTCCGTGCAGACCAAGGCAGAAACTCAGTTTAAGACGACCTGCTACAGCACGGGCGTGCACCTTTGGCACGTCCGTGCTGCATCATCTGCACGGACGTGCAATATTTGGCACGTCCGTGCAGGCCTTGGCAGAAAGATGGCTTCAGGTCTGCACTCCTGCACGGACGTGCAACATCTTGCACGGCCGTGCTGCCTCATAATCACGGAAGCACGTCCGTGCTGCATCATCTGCACGGACGTGCAATATTTGGCACGTCCGTGCAGGCCTTGGCAGAAAGATGGCTTCAGGTCTGCACTCCTGCACGGACGTGCAACATCTTGCACGGCCGTGCTGCCTCATAATCACGGAAGCACGTCCGTGCTGCATCATCTGCACGGACGTGCAATATTTGGCACGTCCGTGCAGGCCTTGGCAGAAAGATGGCTTCAGGTCTGCACTCCTGCACGGACGTGCAACATCTTGCACGGCCGTGCAGGGTCTTCTGGGCCCTTTTCTTCGTGTTTTCTTCTACGATGCTCTTGTACTTGGATTCTTTCCATCATTTCCTTGCTTCTAACCTCGGTTTGGTAACCATGGGCTTCATTTGGTCGTCTTTGGACCTAAAATCTCAACAAAAACACTAACAACCCGTGAAGCATAGGATACACAAAAATTGCATAATAATAGGGTAAAAGTGAACCAAAACACAAATTTGTTCAGGTAAACTAGGTTCAAATACGCCCTAAAACCGCATAAAATAGCAAGTTATCAAATTCCCCCAAGCTAAGCTTTTGCTCGTCCTCGAGCAAACTAGTCATGACAAAACAAATAGAGGGAACTAACTTGTTATAGAAGGTTGAAGCAAAAGTTAAACCAAGAAAGGGTAGGCATACACAATAAACCGAACGATCACTTTTAGCAAAAGTGAGAAGCCGTTTAAACCTACAAGTCGCCTAGTAGGACGAGTCCATCTCTCGTGAGGGTTTCCAAAGAGAATCACCCACAACTCCCACAAACACAACACACGATTTTTTTTTTTTTTATAGCCCAAGTCAACTCATCGGGATGTGATTCAAAAGCAAGACAAGTGAACAACTTTCAAGAATTACCAATCATACAAATGTTCACATGAGTTGGGGGTAGAGAGGAGAACTAAACAAGGTTGCACTAGGATACTTCCTTTGGCCTTTTACTATTTCATTAGAGCACACCTAGATATTCCAAAGTTGTAACAAGCCCTCTTTCGGTTATAAAATCTCAAAATGCTAGTCCACCTCCCAAAATGCACACCCAAGGCCCCTTAACTACACTCTAACTCGGGAATTTCATAAGAAATAACAATGCAAACAAGGTGTGGGAGGCATCCACGAGTTGACCTCTAAAGAAGAGAATTTTTTTTTTAGAAGTTTTGGGGTAGTTTTTGTTCTCCCCTTTTTTTATGCTCTTCTTTTTTTTTTTCAATTTTCAATGCCCTCGCCTCTTTTAACTGTGAGCGGCTCTTTCTTTATTGAGAACGTGTGGCTTATTACGCCACTTATTACACATGATACAAGTAGAACCAATTCCCTAATAGAGTTTCATTTCGGGGAGGAAAGGGGACACATCAAGGGCACAAGG